CAAAGACTAACATGTCAGTTTTATCCCCGAGCGGGTCTTTGCGAAGTGTAGGTTGGGCACTGTGCAAGCAGATGCGCCTACAGTGCAAGCCAAAATGGCCTCCGTTGTCACCAAGGCTGCCAGGGAGTCATGGTAGATGGTTTGTACATCACAACTTGTGTTGGGAGAAGATGGAAAGCACTATTTTAAAAGTAGAACAGCCAAGAGTAAATTTAGGCTGCCTCCACAGTAGGCCAGAAACGAAAGACCGTGTCATGAAGACGTGTCCTCTAAGTGAATAGTAGGGCATCTCCAAGCGATGGTTAGCAAGTTGTGCTGAAGAGCCCTTAGTGTTTCTGGTTTTTTTATAAAGCAACAAGAAAGAAGACATGTGCATGGTACAGACTTTTCTAACATGTTAGGAGACTGAGAAAAAGGTTTGGGGATATGGGAATAATTTAATTTAAATCATATACAGGAGAACATGCAAGATTTCATTGGCAGAGTTACTTGGGCTTCATGCTATGGCTGTTGACCCATCACAGTATTATTATCACATGAAATAATTGAAGATGCAAATCAGTGTGATGTGAGTGTATGTTTTATTCATTTGTGAAATACTTTCACGTTGCTTTTCATGAAAAAAAAAGTGTATTGGGCATGCATATGAAACATTTCAGGAACACTATTTAGATGTTTAGATCTTGAGCAACATGGCATATATATAAACTATAAAAAATATAAACAATAAGATAACTAACAATATAACAGTAGTTAAAAACAGTAAAATAACTGACAAATACAATAGTTAAAAACAATAAAATATCTATAAAACAATAAGTAACAAGATAATAATTAAAAACAATAAAATAAAATAATATTTAAAAACCAATAAAATAACTAAAGCAGGTGAATTCTTGGCAAATAAGCACTATTCAGTGCTGGTTTTGTGGGCATAATAAATGAATATACTAGTCCCCATTTTATCAAGATGAAATGTGTTTTATGATTTTTTTGAAAAGTGAGAAGAACCAGGTCTTAAAAGTTCAGTCGTCAACGTATGACCGAGATTAGGAGCTGGAACGGTTTCTTCCCATCATTTCTCTGATCAGCTCAGCTCTAAAGGAGGGATACAGAGCAGGGCTTGATGTGCCAGTGGCTAAAGAGGAGACAGAATTAAGCGTAGATCCAGGTCCAAGGACCCGCAGCCTCGGAGTCTACCACCTCCAAATTATGTGTGATGTGTTGCGAGCCCCTCCGCAGCTTTAAAGCTGCTCTGCATTTGTTGCAGAAGTTTGAAATAATAACACAGATGCATTTATTTATTCAGGGCATGATGGTAACATTTAGTAATTTTAAACTCTTTTTTTTTTAATTCGCTCAACTAATACAAAAATAGGTTTTAAACTCTGCAAGATACAAGCTAAATAACCGTTAAGCATTCTAAGTTACTTATTAAACAAACACAACTGACTTTTGTTTAGCAATATAATATGGAAACTATTTGAAGGGCTTAGATATATACATGACATGTTTTGTTTAAAATAGAATATCCTATTTATAAACTGAATTATCAAAAACTATGATACTGTGCCTCTCTTGACATAAATAACTAGTTATCTTCACAGTTGCACTCTGAGAAAGTATTCTGGCTACAGATTTTTTTTCTTTCTTCTGTTAGGAACAGAAAGACAAGCAAAACTAAGATGAGCATACGAGCTTGTTTTTTTTAGCAAATAAGCGCTAGATTGGCCTGAAGAGAGCCCCGCTTGGCAGGAATCCTATAAGGCTCCAGAACAACGCCACCATCTTTCTAGCTGCTGACGATCACAGGCATTTATAATTATATTGGGAGAGAAATGGAGGTTGGAGACTAGGGAGGGAACAGAGGAAATGAGGAGAGTCCAGGCAAAAGGAATGAGAATGAATCATCTGGAGATGGTAATGAAGATGAGAGGACTAGCAACTTCCTGTTATCCAGAACAGCTCTTATTCTGCAACACTTCATTGCCAGAGGTGTGTGCATGAGTGAGTGCATGAAACACTTACAACTGCGTCCTGGTTGGTGAACTCTGACAGGTCTCACATCTAATTTAGCTATTGGACTTCATCCCATCTCACTCTGTTCCTCAAAGCCATATATTTGTGGAAGTTTTCTACTTGCTTCCTTTCATCTTCAGCAACAGAAAAACTTAATGTTACCCCCAAGGGTAATATATTGCCCACCAAATTTTCTGCCTACCCCTTTTCATAAATCAGGAAGGCTGGAGGAATCACAGGACTATCTGTCTATCTCCTGAAATTCTTCCCCCACACTTAATCCAGTGGATCAGTTCTCTATATAACAGAAGGTTGATAGGTAGGGAAAGCAAAGACTGTTGATCAATTCACATATTTGTGTTTCGGAAAAGAAAACCAAAACCAAAAATAATCCTTGTTCTTCAAAACCTAATCTTAAACTTAACAAATAGCATTTTTCTTTACTATGGACAAATATGTAGCAAGCATTCGTATAGCCACTGAGAATCTTTAATAAGGAAGCAGCTGATTCAGGATAGTCAGAATCAGTCTGCAAATTATATAGACTGTATATTGTAATTTGATAAGTTGAGATCAAAAGTAGATTGCAGCAGATCTGGAAAAGCAAAAATCCTTTGTTAAAAGTTGTGTTGCCCGTTTAGGATTGAAAGGAAAGAGAAGCATAAACTGCATTCCAGATAATGAGAAAATGTTGTCTTGTGGATAGTGTGTAAAGACAGGATATGTTCTGAACATATGAACAGTAGTAATCTTGTGAGAATTGTGACGTGATCGCTCAAACCCACAAAATATCGTGACATTTATTATTGGCTTATAATTCATGATACCCTTAGCAGTCAAAATTAGGGTGACATCTTATTGGCTAGTGTTCAGTTTTATCTTAATATATGAAAATATTATTCCTGATCTTTGAATCTACCAGAGAATAGTTATTCAGAATAATTTTACCATGTAGTTTCTGTTAAAACACACACACACACACACATACATATGACTTACATAGATTTTTGTTGTATAATTGATTTTTATTAGCCATTACTATATTTAGATTCAGTTTTCTCACACAACACTCTAATACAAGGCATAAAAAATATTCTGGGTACATGCTTCTATTAGATATAGCCTGGTGTGTGTGTGTG